GCTAATTTAGTTTAGTGCATGATTTGACAGGACGCAACGTTTGCGTGCCAAAACGTACAATTGTAATTTTATAATTAAACTCGCCACAAAGTTTATACGATACTGTTTATTGAATATTTATACGTTTTATATTGTGTTTTAATAATAAAATGGACGGAAGATATCACGTATAAATTTGTACAGGAGTATTTAGAACACGAATGTTTATTTGAAGTTCAAATTGTAAAATTAAACCTGCTCGAGATGCTGCACTCATGAAAATTCTTAAAAACTTCTGCAACAACAACCATTAATACTTCTCTGACTGGTTCATTTAATTCTTTACGTAATCCTAGAACCATCTTAAACAAAAACCAGAAAATTCTGTAGTCTTGAAACGTCATACTCCAACGAACTCTATGAATTAATCTCCTTAACTAAACTCGCCACGAAGACATTGTTTGAACGCTACTGCCCACTTAACCGTTTACTGTCAACTGTCCTGTAACTAAACTCGCTACTGTACTTGTCGAAGTGTAAATCGGTCTTTAGGGCTGTTCTAATTCGGCAGAAAGTGAATTATTAGAAGTCTAATTAGTTAAAATACTGAAAAGTTGTATCCAATAATTTTTACACAACGCAATCACTATATAGGTTTTTTTCAAACACTTGCAAAACTTTTGCAGATGTTCTTTTTTTTATATATATAATAGAGGGATCAAACAAGCATGCGGCTCACCTTATGGTAAGTGACTACCGCCGCCTCACCTTTTCAAATTGCAGATGCAGATGTTCGCATGCGAATTCGTTTATGCCCTGAAGTAAGTAAATATGGTATCTTTAGCGTGGAATGCATTAAATTATGTTGAGATGTTTGTGGGAGCTGTTACTACTACGCGCAATTTACTCAATATTTTGTCGTCTAAAAGTTAGAAATGTTTTTCCTCGAAAAAATTACATCACACAATTCTCATCTTCAATGTTACCTACTCACATTGAAGATGATAATTGTGAACAAACACAAATCCTGATGTTAAAAATTTGTCTTTGTCTCCCTCCAGACAACTAGACTTCGCTTCAGATTTACTTTTGTAAAATGCATAAATATAATATGTAAACCGTTGGAAATTTTGTTAGTTTATTTTAAGATAATAATAATTTCCAAACTACATTAATTTAAAATATTGGCATAGTCTGAAAAGTCAACAACATGATCGAAATTTCGCCTAGAAATTCCACCAAACATGGATACTGAATTTTTCTACTTTCAAGGTTTGTATCCTTTGCCCTTTGAAGATTTAAAGAAATTTTAAATTACATTTTTATATATTGTAAATTCTCGATTTAACTTATGACTTTGGCAATTATTAATGAAATTAAAAATGAAAAAGAAATGTAAAATTACTCAACCTATTATGAACCTCCCTCTTTATATTACATATTTTTTACTTTTAAATTAACTGGTATATATATGCAGGTTTGTAATAACTACGAAAAACATCTACGAGGAAACACTTACGTAGAATTTTATGACCTGCGAAGTGCGGTTGCCGCATATCAAGCTTTACATTCACGTTGGTATGGTGGAAGACAGTTATCGTTGCAATTCTGTGAAATTGGTTCTTGGAAGAATGCTATTTGTGGTACGTGACTATATTAAAGTGTAAATAATTTTCTCGTTTAAAAATTACCATTTATTTTTCGTTTTTACAGGCCTACAAATAAAAAAACGATGCCCCAAAGGAAGAGCCTGCAACTTCTTGCATGTATTCAGAAATCCAAATAATTTGTTTTCTGTTTACAATGGGAGTAACTACAGGTACCTAATATATTATTACAAGTGGTATACTTAGTATATAGAGTCATATTTTTGTGTTAGAAGTCAATTCCTTTTAAAATGGTTTTCAGTTACTCAATACTACCATTCTACAAGCCGGCATCTCCTAAACTTACTCGCAACTTCTCCGCGGTAGGAGTCACAGAAGTTATAAATAAATTGAACTTGTTTAATTTATTTTATCTTCAAGGGAAACGTACATAATTTTAGTCTAATACTTATGATTCATATAATTTACGCAACTCAAAAATAAAATTTTTAGTATACAAATAATAAATTAAAAAATGTAAAGGTTCGATTATTTGAATACCTACTGTTACCAATTATTCGCATCAGCATGAATCTGAATCACTTAAATACTACGGTACCTAAGTGTAATGATGATATATCATTTAAAAATGTCCACTATAAAAGTCAATTCTGGTTATTTTTTAAAATATTTTGCTTTCTTTAATATATTCTAATTTAAATTAGTGTTAAAGAACTATATATGTTGTAATGAAATATAGATAACTTCATAATTCTTTGAATTTACGTAAAAGCTTATATTAAAAATCATGTGAGTATGCTTGTACAAAGTTATTGCGGAATGATTAATATGAAACGTCAAAATGTATTTCTTAGGTTTGATTGAGTATGCAATATAAAAATATTTTTAATGTAGCTGGCTCGGTATAATTTGTTGTATTTTTTCCGATAGGTGAGTTTACTATGAATCCACTGCGGAATTTTTACATTGTAATCAAAAACTTACAAACTCAATCTCACTGCCATCTATTGGGTTCAGATTTTCTGTTTAGGCACTAAACCAAGTAATACCTGATGTCATGAATCATTTTAGTTCATAATTATAGAATTTGTTAATACTTTTATCTTTTATAATAACATGACCACAGCGCCACCTATCAGATACTAGCGTATTTATGAAGCATATATGTGAATAATGTGACCTTAATCTCACGTTGTAGAGCCATAATGCAGCTATATTATGGTTGTAGTACAAATATGTCGGTTTGACTCGGAAAGGACCAAGCTCTTACAGAATATTAGCGTAAAAGAGCAGCTCGATGCTGCTTTGTGTTTCGTATGGTGAATGTAAAAAACCGGAGACCCTTTTCTACTGGAATCGAGGTATTCCATCTTAGTCCTCACGGGTGACAACGCATCTGCATTTTAATTCTTAGTCGAAGATAGATATATATGGGCCACAGCATTTACTCACCATCAGGTGGACTGTGTGCTCGTTTGTCACCCGTATTCTATATAAAGTCTTAAGGCGTTTAGAAGTTTCACGATCACCAACAGACGCACTAACGATTTTATAAAATATTCAAAGATGATTCGCAGGAAATTAAATTGTTTTGTTTTCAGAAATGTGTTAAATTAATTTGCTAGAATTGTTTTTCCCTCGCTATACAGACGGGATGAAAATTGAAATGCTGTGTACTGGGGATGCTGCTCCCCCATCACCGATATGTGAGATTTATACACGAATCGATTAGAATTGAAATGCAATTTCCACCATTAGCTATTCTTTCATTTCTTGCCTTTAAGGATCATGATGAACTTAAATTAAAATGATAGGTATTTGAATTTAGTCCTAAATTATCAAATTTTGCACACTAATAAGGGTTTCGTTTTGTCATGGCTCACCTAGGCAAAATAAAATTATTCAACATCAGTCTCCCTAAACTAAAAAGTATTTTTTTTAAATGTCTTTCTCAGGGGACGAAGAACACCGCCCCGTTCTTGGAGATGGTCGGAATCCCCCGAAAGGGAATCTCCACCCAGAAGACATTCTAGTTCAAGAAGTACGAAACCTACTAAAAGAGACCACGGTCCTTGTAAGAGAAAAAGTATTTCTATTACGTCACATAGAAAAAAATCAGGAAAAAGAGATTAATTATATAGTACTGTAAAGAAATATAAAATTTTAATAAAAACTGAAAACCTACAAGTTTGTTTAATTGTATATATTATTAGTTAGTAAAGTTATAGCCTCTCATTTCTGAGAGGGTTTTAGGGTAAGGTAATGTTCGCTACGCCTCCCCAATGTGTGTTGGCGGATTTCGCATGTCTTTTGTTCTTTTGTCTATTTTTTTAATATCTCAGACATATAGGTTGCCTCGCGGTTTTCCTTTACCACCAAGCACTTAGTAAATCAGCACTTAAAATTGAAATGGCTGGGATCGAACCCGGGTTGCTCGCGTACGCTGTAAATGTTGAATAAGCGCTTAGACCCTGAGTTATCACGACTGGTTTTTCAGGTTTACAGGGATATTTTTCAAAGAGTAGCCGAATTTTAAACTTAAGTTCAAATATCTTGTGGTTCTGTTCGATGGAGGTGATGTCTGCTGGGATTATATGAGGTACCTTAGGATATTGTAAGCTGACGATAGTCGAATTGATGCTTGTTGCGTTTTGGAGCATTGCTTCTTTGCAATAGTTGTTTGGCGGGTCGTTATTCTCAATGGTGCTCTCTGCGTCTTGGTTTGACTCACACCTAAGTTCGCTGCAGTCTGTCTAACCTCCATGATGTTTTATATAATGATAACCATTATTGCAGTTTTTGAAAATACCGAATAAATAAGACTTCTACGTTTAGTTGAAATTATCCCAAATTGAATGTCATTAATTAAGATGAATTATATTATTACTATTTCTCTGGTTGTATAAGAAGCTGTGCCCCAAAATATATTAAGAAATCACGCGAAATATCATAACATAAACACTCACGCCTGTCACCCAGGTAGGGAGAGATCCACCCACCCGGGTAGGCAAAGACTACGGACTTCCATTTGACACTATTCTGACATACCTCCCTCGCCTCCTTTACATCCATATATCTACGCAAACACGCTCGTCGGTTAGGGGTACTTCCAATGTGGCCCATTTTCAAAATATCGCCAATTTGGTCGATAAACTTTCGTCTAGGGCATCCCTTCCCGACTCTGCCGTTTAATCTTTTCATAATAATCATAATGGCGTAGGGAATTGACGACTCCATCGCCCGCTGACGTAACAGTTAAGTGACAAAACTCAACGCAGCGTCAGCGCAGTCAGTCAGCGCCTTGCCAAGAGGTGTGAGCGCCGTGCCTCAGCAGAATTTAGGGTGAAAAGGCTCGTTTCTACTTATGACCGCACACGATACGGTGCCGGGCCTGGGCGCTAGTGCTAGTGCGCAATGGGCCGCTGTCTGGAGGTCGCCAAGGCGCGTCTGGAGTTGACACTGGCCGGGCCGCCAGCCGATTGCGGGGCGCTGCAAGACCACCTAGCAGCCCCACCAGAAGGCTTGGTGTCGGCTGGGTCTTCACGGACTCAGCAAGCGGCACCCACCGCTGGTGGAGCACGTCGCATGCGTTGGTCACTAATAACGAACGCAAACGCACTGCGGGCGTACTTTAGGGCAAAAGGGGAAGAAATTGAAAGTTTGGCGTATCGGGCTCGGATGCTTTTTTGCAGAACTGGAGCCATCTCTAATCGTCACTGAGCAAAACCTGGCAGACCGAGTTTGGTACATCCTGTGCTCCAACATGGAGCTTTGGTGACGCAGAACTCGATGGACTACGACGTGAGGCTGTTCCCTCATCGGATGAAAATTCTACGGCTGGGAATGCGGCGCCACTAATTGCACAGCAACCTGTATACGTGGATGCTGCCGTGGATATTCCAGTTGTGGTTGATTCAGACTATGATGAAATAGTCTCCCACGAACTATAGAAAATGAGGAGCATAGAAGATGCGATGCTGGAAACGCGCAATACGCCTCTCGAAAATCGACCGCGACTTCCCCGCATACCCCTAAGCATACGGAATCGGGTTGTCGTGCGGTTCTTAACCCAATGCTGGTGACCTGTTTGGAAGCCAGCCGGGACCTTTGCGAGACGGACTTAATTCTTTTTGGCGCCGCATTGGCAGTATGTCGTATTATTAGCGCCAAACTTCCCATGGCTGGACGCGCTACTAGACAAAGTAGCGTCATCACAGCCTGGAGAAAAAGAATCGAAGCGGACTGTATCGCAAAAGCAAGAGCCCTTATCGGCAAAATTGACAAGCTTCAGGTCGGGTAATAACAGACCAAAAAATTAAAAAGTGAAAAAAAAATGAAGCAAAAAATCGCTGCTTGGGGGAAGCGGATTCGACGATTTACCGAGAGATCAAGACGGTTCAACTAGAATCGTCTCTTCCAGAGTGATCAGAAGAGGCTCTATAAATCACTGGAGCGAACAGAGGTATGTGGAGTGGGCCCAGAACTGAATCAGGCCGACACTGTCGCATTCTGGCGTGGCCTGTGGTCAGAGCCTGTAAACCACAGCGAGGGCCCTTGGATGGAAGTTGTGGCGAGCAGAGTGCGAGCGTTACGCCTATGGACCCCGTCACCATAACGCCGGAAGACGGGGCTGAGACGGTCCTAGTGCCTCGAACTGGAAAAGTCCGGGGCTCGACGGGCTGGGCACGATCATTACTGGCTGAAGGGGTTCGTAGTGTGTTACGCTGTGCTTACCCGACAGTTTCAAGATGCTCTCAACCAGAAGTCGCTCCCGAACCACTTTACTACTGGGATCACTCTCTTGGCTCCTAAAGATCAGAATACCACAGACCCGAGCAAATACCGCCCCATCACGTGCCTACCCACCATATAAGACACTGACATCGCCTGACATAACGGTTGCCGGAAGCCGTCCTCGAAAGTGATCGCACCGGGCTCTACTGGGACTGGGCCATCATCACAGACAGAACTATTCTTGCGAATAAGCCTGATATTGTGCTGATGGACCGGGCACAGTCAAGGATATTTTAGGTCGACATTATCATTCCATATGACGAGAACCTACTGAAAGTTGAATTAGACAAGAAAACAAAATATCTGGACCTGGCTCACGAGGTGATTGACATGTGGGGTGGCCTGTCGACCGAAATTATTCCTGTAGTCGTCTCTTCGAATGGACGTCCTGGTCAGTCTCTTGGGTTATCTGAGGCGATTGGGACTCCGCGACGGACCGCCCCGGGCTCAAATTCAGAAGACGGTGCTCCTCGATATAGCCCGTATCGTCCGCCGATTTCTTTCCCTTTCACCCTAACCCTCGGCTTAGGCTTAGGTTGGGCTTTTATTTATTTATGTATTTTTTGTATTTATTTTTTGATATTTTTGTATATTTACCAATTTATCATTTCATTTCCATTTACAATTATGTATTTATAGAACCCAACCAGATGAGAAAACTACCCCAAATAATAATAACCGTAGACAGAGGCGGCCCTAGGAAAACTTTTAGGTGGTGCGAGATCTCATAGTGGCGCCCCTCTAATACAAACCCTTAGTGTTCCTTTACTATGCAGTTGCTTTTTCGTGATATTCTTTTTAGAATAAGGTGACAAACGAGCACACAGTCCATCTGAAGGTAAGTGGATGCTGTGGCCCATAGACATCTACATTTATCCTCGATTAAGAATCAAAATGCAGGTGTGTTGTCACACCTAAGAACTAAGATGGAATGCTTCGTTACCAGTAAAAAAGGGTCTCCGGATCTCTATGCTCACCATACGAAACATAGCAGTATTAAGCTGCTATTTTACACTGGTATTCTGTGAGAGTGTGGTCTTTCCCCCCACTTTTCCCGATGAATTCGTGCTATAACCATAATATAGCTGCAGCGTGGCTCCACCACGTATTAAAAATAGTATTAGACCTATAAAATATCTACAGGTGTATTCGCGGGGCAAGCACAGTTGTGTCTGTCTCTCTTGCCATAACAGTTGTTCTGCAGAAATGTTGTCCATTCTGCTCGCACTACTCTGTTGCGCTGGACAACGCCACTATGTTTGCCTTGCTGCGGTGACTGGTTGTACAGGTTATTTCTCATAGTAAAAGTTAATAATCTTGTTTGTAAACTTTTATTTAAACTGTTGTTCTGCAGACAGTGTTAAAAAAGATAAAATACGTGTGGCACTCGGGGATTGCCGCGGTAAAGCTATTGCATAGTATTTTTATCAACATAAGCAATTATAATTATCTATTTATTTTATTTATACAGAATTTTTTTTTCTGCATAAATAAATGATGGGGGATGAGTCGCTCGCGTCCGTAGGCTTCGACCACCTAACCTTAGGCCCACCCTACACGTGTCCTCCGGGTGGTGCTAAACGAGCGACAAAGCCGAAAAAATAGACTCGGCTCCTCGCCGTATGGTAGCGGCATAAAATCTACCACCACCCCTTGTTCGCACCATGACTCAGAAAATAAAAGAAATGGCCCCGAGTTCCCGGCGCCCCATCAATGGGGCAGGGGTGCGAAGAATCTCCGGGAGAAAAACCTGCGACGAGGTTCGCCACCCGTCACGTTCTGTCTCCCGGAGGGGCGAAAAGTGGATTGCGGAAACCCGTCTGGCTACTCTGAATGTATGTGGAGGAATGAATGATAAGATGGATGAAGTATGCGAAATGATGAATGATAGATGAATAGATGTGTCATGTGTGAATGAGACGAACCGAAAGGGAAAGGATGCAACTGCACATGGCACACGTATACCGCGTATTGGTCTGGTGTAGACGAGACCGAATGGGCATGCCAGGGAGTCGGTTTCATCCTTTCAGAAAGAATGGGTCAATGTGTGAAAGAGTATGAATGTGTAAGGGCTGGCCCGAGGCTGCTATGGATACGAATGAAAGTGGGCTTAAAGAAGCTGTTCCTGCTAGGGGTGTACGCCCCAGACTAAGCCCACTTACATCCGAGAGCAGTTTTGGGACATGGTAAGGATGGTGTTGACAAAATGTAAGGAAAATGAAAATATTATTATGTTAGGAGACTTTAATGGAAGGGTTGGGGTGAAGAGGTCTGGTTATGAAAGGATATTGGGAACGTTTGGTGATGAAAGTATTGTTACGCGCTCAAGTCGACGGCACTAGCGCCATCTAGTCTCGAACCGAAGAACTAAACTTCTTGAAGTTTAAAACCCGAACTCTCGGTACCTTGAGCGTGTTTACTTGAACATTCTGGATATTTCTTTGCTAATTTATATAAATAGGCGCTGCAAGGTGCGATCGAGGCAGTATTGGATTTGGCGAGACAAGCGAAGCTTCGGAGCGGAATAAAGTGAATTAGTGTGTTTAATTATTAGTGTTTTTAAGTTTTAATTTGTGTAAAGTAAATTAAAGTGTTAATTTAGGTAATTTTATCGGCAATTTTTATTGTAACGAACCTCAAGCTCGTAACAATTGGTGTCAGAAGTGGGATAAAATCATGCCGATTTTACCTAAGGAGCAGGCTCGCCGACAGGAGGAGCAGGCTCGCCGACAGGAGGAGCAGGCCCGTCAGTTGAAATAGCAGCTGCAGAGCGGACAAGAGGAACAGGCCCGCCGACAGGAGGAACAGATGCTCCTCATGAAGGACCTTCACGCTACCTTTGGGAAAGAGATAAGGGAGGTAAAGGATAGGGTTGCTCAACATGACAACCGCTTGTTGGAAGCTGAAACCCGAATCGAAGAACATGAAACCCGAATCAACCATGTGAACAATCGGGTTGACAACGTGATGGCTGACGTGAAGAAAACGCTGAACGACCTCAAACTTGGGGATGGAACTACAGCTCCCGTAGTAGCTACAGCACCTTCGCTACGTGGATTCAAAGTGCCGCCGTTCGACGGGACTTCTTCCTGGTCGGCCTATAAAATCCAGTTCGAGGCCGTCATGGAGGCAAACGGCTGGAATAAAAGCCAGGCCATGACTGCACTCACCTTAGGCCTGCGCAACCAAGCCGTAACCGTGTTGGAAGCTCTCGGTAAGAAAGTGACCTACGAGCAGCTCCTTGAGGCATTGGACTGGACTTGGACTCACCTGGAACACGTCTTTCGCGCGCAGCTTAAAGATCGTGTGCAACGCAGCAACGAAAACCTGCAGCAGTGGGCCCTTGAGGTGGAGAAGATGGTTCGAAAAGCATACCAGTCTGTACCTGCGCTCATTGAAGTGAACCTGGTGCAGACATTCATCGACGGCATCCGCGACCTGGAAGTCAGAGCTGCTGTGAGGCTCGGGCACCACGAGACGCTTAAGGACGCCTTGGCCCATGCACTGGAGGTAGAAGCCGTGCGGCAGGATCATCGTTCCCATCGCGTCAGGGAGGTTGCAGCAGCTACAGTTCGCGACCGCAAAAAAAACACCTAGGGCTGTATCAGCCCTAGGTGCTATGGCTCCGGGGAAAAGGGCCATCTTCGATCCAGCTGCCCTAAGCGAACCCTAGAAAGGTTACCAATTTATTTGAAAATTCGTAGAAACGGATTTCTTAGCATTATAAAAATAAACTGAGATACGTACTTTTTTATTTTAATTCGTAATGTTCGTAATTTCTTATTATTACCTATACTAAAGGCATTTTGCATGAAGCTGGCATCCCTATTTTACTAACTTGTCATGGCGGCGACGCGAGTTCGCACTTGATTGAGTGGAATTAACGGGGCCCATTTTTCTCACTTAAGCTATTTTAGGAAATTGGTGTGCACCAATATCTTTGCAATAAGGCACTTCACACATCTTTTTAATCAAAAAAAGGTAAAATTGTATGATGAGATACCACTTTTAAACTTTAAAGCTGTGCTAGCGCCTCTGACAATTACCAACCCACGTTCACACTCGAAGATTTTACTTAATAATGGGTGCGTTTGGCAGAAAAAAGCGCTAGCAAGCGCTTGTAAGCAAAATGGCGATCGTAAGCGGTAAGCGCTGTCAAATCGTTAGTAGCTATTTTCCTCTAGGACACGATGTTAGTTTTAACCGGGGAACCTAACCTAATTTAAATATATGTTTGTAAAGTATTCCTATTAAAAACTTACTAATCATGAATTTTTAATAACATGTGTATGTTTATTCATGTCATTATATTACTTAAAACTAATATTGTACAAAACAATTTATAAACTCTACTGCAAAACAAACAAATTAAATAAGCAAAATGGCGGATTGTGTCAGCGCTAATGAAGTAGCAATCGTGTCCTGGCCGAAAACTATTTTAGCGCTTGTAAGCGCTTGCTAGCGCTTTTTTCTGCCAAACGCACCCAATGACATCCAATTGCCACATATGTAAACACCAACTTGCTACTTGTCACTTGTCATTTGTCACTTGTCATTGTCACTCGCACTTGTCACTTCTCAAAATGTAAACCGGGCTTTAGTTTGCCTTTTCTCGCTCACAAAAGGCACGCACCTTCAACACAACATCTCTTGCACTGCTTCTAAATGGTTTCGGCATAATTAATTCGGAATATTTTAAATAATAACACTAAAACGAGCGTTATAATCACAAACTGAAAACAAATTGACAAGCAATAGTGCCAACATCACAGCAGGGGACATCTTACAGTGAACGGGCTATAGGTTTCTCTGTCTACGCCACAGAACACTATTACTCTACGCTCTACATGGGCATGCAACTTAGAACATTATTTTGAGAACAAATTGATATCTTTTTGTGCTGCCATCTTTCGTGTGGGGCACGTAAACTAAGACTTACTTTTATCGAACTAGAGGGCACATATATATATTAGGTCTATATAGGAAGCCATCCATGTTCTATGCGCGGTGCACTACGCAGTTAATGGCGGTTACTGGTAGTAAGGATTAATTTAATATCAATATCTATTTGATATTATTCCGATTTCTCGTGCATTTATGTGTTTTATTTTAATAAGTTTGTGATCTATTTGAGTTCTTTTATATTTAATCTTTTTAAAAATGTCACGGAAGGAGTGTGTTTTCAAATGTGACAAATTTGGTAAGTTATTTTTGTAATATTCGCATAGTTTCCGGATTTTATTCACTTGTAAACAGCTATTATGTAAGAAATTGAAAGTTCAAGGCATGGGCTGTAATCATTAAAAGTCCACTATGCATAGGCTGCCCACGCATTGCCTCGTAGGTACTTTTTGCCATAGCTGCCACGCTTGGCAGGCGGGTTATTCTGCCAAGCCTATCTGCTACAGCGGGCTGGGGCTGCTCTCCCTCCGTGCCTACAGCTTTTACAAAAACACTCTAGGGGTAGGGCAGACAAGACTATGTGGAGTTGGGGTGTGCTAATTCGGTTTTAGAACCGATTCGACCTATTTTATCTATAAAGTCTAGTTGCTCTTAACTCTCCTACTAGAGTGGTGAATGAAATAATGTAATGTGAATTGTTATAATTTTGTTTTCGGATAAACCTCTTGACTGCTATCCACTGCAACTCAATTTGTTGTATTTAAGTCCCATCTCCAGCCACAAATGGATTGTCTGGGTCCGAGTGATAAACTTTTTTATGAGTGTATCCGTGTTAAGAAAACAAACTGACATATTTGCATTTTGTTATATGTAATTTAAAGTGAAATTTATTTTTATCGTAAGTAATTAATTCAAAAGGCATTTCTGAAATCCAAAAACAGTGTAAATGGTTCGAGCTTAACCCTGACAATCCTCCTAAATTGAAAATATAATTAAAAAAATCAAGTATCGGAAATCTACTTCATAATATGAGAACAAATTGACTTTTACACTATTTTTGGTGAAATTTGTTTTTATCTTAATTAATTCAAAATGCATTTCCGACATCTAAAAACAGTGTAGTAGGTTTAAGATTAACCCTAACAAGCCTCCTAGACTAAAAACATTATCAAAATCAAGTACCAGATTTCTAGCCAACTCGATATAACCTCAAAATTTTAACTATCGATATCTCGAAAAATAAAGATTTCCGGCATAAAAAGCAGCTAAATGGTAATCAATAGCATCATTGCCTGTCAACTAAAGCTAAAATAATTGCTTAAATCATGCAGCAGGTTACTAAAGCCGACCCCAGTTTCCGTCTCGCCTCGAAAATAATGTTATATTTTATCATTTCAGATATATTACACAAATTTCCAATACCGAAGTACCCGTCACTTGAAAGGTTTCGGCTATGGACGAGGATAGCTGGAAACAATTTGAAAAATAAAACCGATCTTCATATTTATGATAATTACCGTATTTGTAATCGGCACTTCGAAGATCATTTTATATATCCTCGGACCAAAAGACTTGCTAAAACAGCATACCCCAGTCTTAACCTTGATAACTCTTAATAAAAGTTTTTTTCACTGTCAATTTAACTAGCAATTGTTTTAACAGTGCAGACTAAAGAATATAACAGTTGTAATATTCGTAAAGATGATCAAACAAACTTTTAGTTTTTACTTATTATTGGTATATCAGTGTATAGCTTGCCTACAATAACTACTACAACCCCACCCAGTGGTAAGTGGTTATAAAGCCCTAGCAGTGGCGGCCCTAACAAAATTTTTAGGTGGAGCGGGATCTCAGTAGGACACCCCTCTAAATACAAAACCTTAGTGTTCCTCTACTATGACGTGATTTTAAATAGTATTAGATGTATCAAATATCTACAGGTGTATATGTTTAAGCACAGTTGTGTCTGTTGCTCTTGCCATAGCAATTGTTCTACTTATTTGCATTGCTGTTATTGTTGCTCACGACAATGGCACTATGCTTGCCTTGCTACGTTGACTAGTTGTACAGATTATTTCCCATAATAAGAGTTAATAATCTTGTTTGACAACTTTTATTTAAACTGTTGTTCTGCAGACAGTGTCAAAAAAGATAAACTAACTGAACTTCCAACAACAAACTTAATGAAAAGTCTAGATAGCCAGCTTTCTGGTTTATATTTATTATAGCAATAGAATTTTCTGTGGAAAAGATTCCAAGATATGACAGTCTTTCCTGACACATAGTAGAAACATAGGTAAATTTTAATTGTTTTAATGTAATATAAGTATGTTTCCATTTAGCGACAGTAATAGTACAGGTATAGTCAGCATGATACAAAATACTGTCTGTCTTTTTTAAAAAAATATCCTGCCAATCATTATTTTTAATAAGTCTGAGAACTTTATGTAGCTCTGCTGATTAAAGATCTTTAAATAATGGGTTCAAGCTCATAAGTTCCTGAACCAATTTACAACGAGACAAATCACATTATGCCCATCTGTTACAAATCAACACAGGCATTTTGATCTTTCAGGAATTATTTTCATTTTGTATAAAAATGAACACATATCATATAATTTTGATAGTTTAAGTCAAGTAACCAACACACTTTTAATAGTATCAATCACAAGGTAAAAACATTCCTTTTAAACAATTCTTTAGGATCAGTCGGTGTCTCATCTATGGCTTTGTACACTAATAATATTTTCTTCCTTCGGGATCAGCTGGCTTTAGAATTGGATCTATCTGTTATTAGAGCAGATGAAAAGGCTGGATACTGTTTCAAAATTCAGACAAAATTTTCAAACAATACCTTTAGTAACCTTTGGTAAATCTGTAGATTCAAACTGCATAGATTTTTTGCGCGAGCTGCTATGCAGGTCTAGAAAGACTATTATCACTGCAATCTAAAAGATCTTTTGTAATCGCTGCTATGGCTATAGTTCACTGCTAAGCATTATGTCTTCAATGAATGGGAGTTGCTTAACTGTGAGCAATTTCAATTCTTATAGGCGAAGTAAGAAGAGCCCAATAAAGAGAGTTTTATGTATTACTCATATACTTTCACTACTATTACAGGTTTAAATGCAGAAACATCAGGACCATGTATACCGGATGTACTTCCTTCATCAATTCCTGATACAAGTTCACGTGATAATCGTATAAAAGGTATTGAATTTCTTTTTTTATTTTAAATTATATCCTTTTAATGAAAGATTTTTAATTTGTTATTAAAAATCTTTCATTAAAAGGAGATTCCAATACAATCTGAACTATGCTGTCATTATTTCGTCTGATCTCTATATGCTTACATTTTGTCATACTTTTTTCAGGTACATTGATTAAAAGAAAACGTATGGGTGTAAAAATTAATAAATTAATAAATAAAATCTTGTTATTAAAGAAAAAAATAAAAGACCAAAAAAGTCAAATAACAGCAGCAGAAAAAATGTCAAAGACAAAATTATTTTAAAAAGATTCTGAAATCATTATAAAAGCCTGCTCAGACATTGCTAAATATGCAATTAACTCAGCATAATAAAAGAGACCGTGGAAGGCGTTTTAATATTGAAGAAAAATTATTAGCTTTGTCGATTTATAAAAGAAGTCCCAAAGGCTATAATTTTCTAAGAAAAATTATTTACCTTGCCCTCAAAGAGGACATTGCAGGATGTGCTTAAAAAAATAACTTTGAAAGCAGGTCTAAACCCAATAGTATTCCGTCAAATAAAAGATGCAGCACAAAAATTTAATACGGAAGAACGCTTACGCTTGTTAATGTTTGATGAGATGTCGCTTTCACCATCACTACAGTATGATAAAGCTTTAGATCAAATAGTCGGCTTTGAAGATTTTGGTGAAAATGATCAGAATGATAATATTGCTGATCATGTTTTAGTGTTTATGTTAAAGGGGTGTAAAAAGTTCAATATAAGCAACCTATTTGCTTTGCTTTTTGCAAAAGTGCCACAAATGCAACAGTTCTTAAAAAAACTAATAAAGAGTATCATCAAAGAAATATTTCAGGGCAGGGTTAATTGTTGTTGCAACTGTGTGTGACCAATCAACAATTAACACAAAGGTAGTAAATGAATTATTAAGAGAGACAAATGCAGAATATTTGAGACTGGGTAGAGAACACAGGAGCAATGCTTTTCAAATAGAAAATCATCATATATTCCCGTTATTCGACCCTCCACATTTATTAAAAGGTGTGAGGAATAATTTAATATCAAAGGACTTAAGGTATGTCCAGAACGACCAAGTAAAAATAGCAAAATGGCAACATTTAAAATTACTGTTGGAAATTGATGCAGGAGAA